ATTTTGGCATATATACAGTGCTTCTTCAGGCCAGGAGAGGCCCAAAATGAACAAAATATAGATAGAGGTGTATCACCCTATCTCCCATATGTAAAGTACTTATTGTTCAATATTAATATATAAAGAGTTTGCTATCCACATAAATAACTGAAATCCCCACAACAGAACTTGTAGCAATACTACCATTTGGTCATGCTATTTTTAGGTAAATAATGTCACATGCGCGGGATTATAATTTTGCTCTTCAGCAAACACTGGTAAAGACAAACTCAAAATACTTCTCATACACAATATTTAACAAATAATAACAATGTGATAAACAATGTTCTCTGTTAAATGTTTATGATATTCTATTTGCATCTGGCTAGTAAAATATGTCCACCATCTATTTGGTATGTGATGTATTTAATGTTGATGAATGGTTATCAATGGTAAATAGCATGCTACGTGATTGATTTGACAGGAAAGATCAAAGACTCGATTCATACAGGATACAGATCATCAAAGATTACTGTCAACCAATTAATTACACCATCTTATAAATCCATTATTTAACATAACCTGCCTGCCTTGCCTCTTAACTTTCAGTACAATATCTAATTGTCTGCTTGTATTACTGTAAAGTATCAAAGCCTCTATGGCATACTTCAGTCATTGTTTCCAATTCTTTGGACTTTGTGACTTCCAGATGCAAAATAAAATAAAATCAAATAGCCAAAGAAGTTTTACATTTAATATTTTCGCAGCAAACTGCTCTAATGAATCAGAGGAATGTCCTGCTCTATGCAGGGGAATTTTGCTACTATTGGTCAACTCTTGATTTCCAACCATTATGGGATTTTAGTGAACATCCTATAGTATTATCTTCTGAGCTAATTCAAACAATGTTTCAACCATGTTTCAACCATTCCAAATGAAAAAAATACACAAAGCCATATCTTAATGTTCCTCAACATTTATTTCCAGTGCAATATTTCAGTTCTGTAAGTCTCTTGTAGCTTGACAATCTAATTTCATTAATTATATACCATTTCTCAAGCTGATCTTAAAAATGACTTTTATCAGCAGAAAATGAAATGAATCATTTAAAATATTTTTGTCACAAAAACTTAATTTATTCTGAAGGATGAAATATTTTATATTAAAAATGTCAATCTATTTCTGAATCCACTAAAAAAATTTGGAGGGAAGTTTCTATCACAAACATAAAACACAGACAATATTAGTTCAACTTGGTCTTCATTTTCTTTTTATATTGATTTTAGTGTCTAAGTTTGAGAAGATGAAGCAATTAGGTATTGTAAGGTGACGACAAGAGTAACATTGAGGCCTACAGGCTATCATTAATAACTGTTGATACATATATCATATCACTCTTAATATCTCAATTACTGTTCCCAATATCAATTTAAACCACTGTTAGCAGATTAATTAATAAGCCTAGCTTAAAGCTATCTCAACTCATAAAGTTATTATGAAAATATTCCTATAGTCATGGTAACTAGCAAGCCATTTTTTATGATCACTTTTAACTGTTAATATGACATCTGTTTTGATAGACAGATGTTAGAGTCAAGGTCAGCAAGTAGAAGATTCTGATCTGATCCTTTCTGAACAGAAGAAAACACAATAATAAGAACATATTTTACCAGAATAACAAGTTCAGTTCTCCAGGATCCTGTCTACCAATCTCTTACCATTAATCTTTCCTGAATTATCCATACCCATTTACAGTTGGGTCAACTAGAATAAGGAATGAGGAAAGATAACTTATTCATCAAGGTTACCAAACTTTGACATGCAGATCAAGATCAGATCCCAAACGAACCATTTATTAGACATAGACATAACCCGAAGACCAAAGAAATAGCATCAAGATTTCAGCTATCTAAATTACTTAGTAGCAAGAGAAATATCTATTGTATCTTATTTAAAACCTTTCTATAGGTCAAAATCTGTCCATTTTTAATGCTTGGTTTACCTTTTTTTAAGCTTTTTAAAAATAAGCCTATATCAGAGGATATGGGTATTTTAGAAGGAGACTAGTGATATGTCGTAAGAAAACTTTAAAATCTTCAACTGAATTTAAAGTTGAAGTTTTATATAACAAAAAAAAAAAATGAGTGACCTAAAGCATGTCTCAGGGCTAGTCTGAAGAACATGTACTTTATCCAGTTCTGTGAGTAAATCCCTCCAGACATTCACCAATTTTCATTTGAGATTCACCGCGGAGAATTCTAGATTAGCAGTAATGAATCAGATAATGAAGTTCTTTGGATTCCAGAGTGAAACATTTCAACCATTCAAGTACTTTTGTCTGGACCAAAGTTCAAAATCAAAAAATTATTCTGGGGTTACATAATTCAGTTAAACAGTTTTTAAGTTTAAAGTAGCCATAAACTAAATATATATTAACCACATAACACAAAAGTCAAGAAGGGGGGTGAAGTTTCCATGAAACTTTTCATTGAATTTCTTTGTTATTGAGTTCAAAAGAAAATCAGGAAAGTTATAAAATAACAGTTTCAAAGAAAAAGCTTCTAAGTTTTGCTGCAAGCAATCAATGACTCAAATGCACTTTGAAATCAGAGAACTTTAGTAGAAGAAGTCAAGTTTTAACAACATTCATTGAATTAAATGCACTTTGTAGAAAAATTTTCACTTGCGGAGTTTAAAATTCTAATGTAGGATTCAAACATACATTGAAAACTTTATCACACACTTAGTTAAAAATATCAATCAAGAAATATATGTCAAAAGAAGAGTTTTTTTTTTTTAAAAGGCCTTCATTGACACAAATACATTCTCTAAAGTTTCAATGTGACCATAGAAACATGACGCCAATATACAATACATGTATAATTTCAAGGACCATTTCATAATAACCTTTTCTACAAGATTTCAATCTGTTAAATAGATCCATTGTTATAAATTCATGATCAGAAGACAAGGAACCATTGTCTCGAGACTGTCAGAGTATGTCTCAATATAGCTAAAAAAAATAAGTTTATAGTTTAACACACGAAACTCAGCAAACCTACTGACAAATAGCCTTGATAATTAATGTTGATTACAGTTTTTCATCTAAAAATATCACCATATTGAATGAATAGATAGACTATTCAGATGAGCTTGATGGGTTTTAAAATATCATATTATCTTGAATATCTTATATCTCATATCTTACTACATTATATTAATATTTACATATATTTTACTATTATCTCATCAACATCAGTGAAATTTTTTGTTATCAGATTATATAAAATTATTACAATTCCACAACTGAGATTAAAAATCATATTTTCATCTCCCAGATGCCATTTTGACCTGTGTTGTAGTTTTCATAAAAATGATTTGTTTTAACTGCAGTTACCTATTGACAAAGTAGAGAAAACAAAAGCCAAAAGAAATATTTTCAAAACTGTTTTGATTATTGAAAATAGGGCTGATACAAGTTCAATCATTGAAACATTATAATTTTCAAATATATCGGTAAAATGTAATCTTTCCTAATCTCTTTTTTGAAAAAATTCTTGAACATGTTTTATTTATTCTTATAAATAGCATCATCTATTAATATGAAAAACATGGAATTTGAAACATTTTTAGCTACAAGAATATTTAAACTAAATTTAAATGTATATTTTCATTAGTTTTTGTTGATTTTGATGAAACATAATCTATTTCCAAATATAGATATATTGAAAATTTGAAACTAACATCCTTTAAAATTCCTATAAAGCACTCTTAGGTACATCGACATCAATTTTCTTACTATATAATCCTATATAATTTTATATGCATCCTTAGTTTCATCTCAAAGAAATTTTCACACATTCATCAGTTTGCCAGTTCCCAAAAGAGTTTAGATGTTTTTCTAGTTGAGGAATGTAAAAAAGTGCAGGAACTATCATCAAATGATAGCATATTACAGTTAAAGGCAAGTTTTTCTACAAAAATCAATGGATTCAATTTGAAACAGATTTGTCCAAAATCTGTGAGTAGAATGAAGTAGCGAGATAGATGGAGATAACACGAATGCTTTTAATGCTTTAATTTACAGAAGAAATAGGTCAATGGAAACCAATTCAGTAGTGGGAAGTCAATATTTCTTTTAAGAGATAATTCAGAGGAAATTGACATGACAATTTATTCAGTAAGCTATGAATACACCCTACTTGTTAATGACTGTCTCTCACTCTTCAATCACTTTATAGATTTTAAGGTAACTGACAGCCCCTTCAAAATAATTCAATATTCTCCTGGCGATATCTGGAAGCAAAATGATGTTTTGATGATGTAAATACTGTTATGATGTCAAAATTGCTATGATTTTGTAAATACTGTTATGATTTTGAAAATACTGCTTTATGTTGTAAATACTTCTATGATTTTGTAAATATTGGAATGATCTTGTAAGTATTATTCAGATGTTGTAAATACTGTTATCATGATGTAAATACTTCTATGGTGTTATGATGGTGTTTATATTGCTATGATATTGTAAAAGCTGCTATGAGTTTATTAATACTATTAGGAAATTGTAACACTGTTCTTATATTATAAATACTGTCATGTTGTAAATACTGTTCTGATGTTGTAGATACTACTATGATTTTGTAAATACTGTTATGATGTTGTAGATACTACTATGATTTTGTAAATACTGTTATGATGTTGTAGATACTACTATGATTTTGTAAATACTATTATGATGTTGTAGATGCTACTATGATTTTGTAAATACTGTTATGACGTTGTAAATATGATACTGATGTTGTTAATACAGTTATGAAGTTGAAATTACTGTTAAGATGATTTTAAACACAAGTAGATGTAAAAAAAAATCATTACAATCGAAAAAAATATAAAATCTCCTCCACCAAGCAAAAATAGCTTGTATATCACATTTTTGAACAAATCTATATGTAAAAAGATATATCAAGTCATTATTTTGGAATCTAGACAAAATCTAAAAACATTTAATTGATAAATACCTTTTTACTTTTAGATTCATCCTTTTTCCTTTTAAAACATCGATAACAACAGAGTAAACCACTCATTTTGTCTGGCTAGTTGGCTGGCTGGCTGGCTGGCTGACCTGGCCTACTCACTGGAAATTTATGAGTCAAATTGTTACAACAATGTCAATCTGGAAAAGTTAGTCTCAAGTAGCCTTTTCTCTAGAAAATTGCCAATAATTACAGCTATATTCCTTGTGTTCTTCAGACAACTGTCTTGAAAATGGTCAATTTCTGTACACTGATTATAAAGTAAATCTGTAATTGACTTCTATTGGAGTTTATTTATCATATCAATGTGGACAGTTAAAATGAATATAATCCAGTTTGTAATTGATACAAATCAGTTGTTGGCCTCCATCTACTTTCTAATTATCTCCACCTTCTCAATATCTTCTATTTCTACCAACTCACCATACTTAATTAATAGTAGAAAAAGAACACCATCACCCTCAGATATTGATTGAGTCCATCTAAAAATCCAATTAGTCTCAGATTCTTTCCTTTGGTTATATTCTTAGACCACGGAAGCACATTAATCTGCTGGATTCACTTCGTATTATGCATTGACTTCCATTTCTTTTAATACAAAATGAAAATTGATAATATCCAGTAAGAAAAATAGTTGTTGAAACTTGACGTCAATAGTTCATTGATCTCTCACAAACAATCAAAACAATCCTCATACAACAAACTTAAAAAAATCCAGAATAGATGAAAAAAGTGTTGAAAAGTGACGTCACCTCAGTTTAAAATAAACTTCTCTCTAAGAGAATGACACGGAGACTAATAGAACTTCCAACTTTATCCAACCATTAACATATAATTAGCACCTTTTTAATGTACTTACTGATGTCTACGTCAATTTAGATTCAAATTTTCACTGGTAATTTCCAACCAAACTGATAACATACTCTTATTATAGCAGACTAAGTGAAAATCCTAGCAATTTGTAGTAGCTTTATGATCGTTAGTGACACAAGCTTCAGACAAGAAGTTGTATCGTCAACTGGAGAACTTCATGTCTTTGCCAATAGCTGTTAACAATCACATGGTACAGTCTATTATTGGAAGACGTATAGAAAATGGATTGGAATAAAAGTAAGAGATAAGAGGCTTATACCACTCTTAACAGATTATTTAGTTAGGTTTTTTTTATATCTAATGTTCTACGAAAATTTATCACAGGCTACTAAAATTTCTGTCATTACAAACTGAATTCCTTGAAGTAATATCTGCTATATACCATCTTATGTTAAAACATGGCCCTGATTCTCTTCTGGTTCATATTATCAGAATCATATCAAATGGCTATTTTTATTATAGGCCTTTTATTTTTCTGAAAAAGATATGTCAATGAACTTGGACATACAAACCCTTTTACTAAGGATCTTGTAGTAAATACAATCTGAACTTGAGCATAATAACATTTTATTCTTGAAATAATCATTGTGCTCTTAGATTATTCAAAACCAGGATCAGAATTAATTCACAACTATTTTAAATATTTATGGACTGTTTTAAATAATTGTTATTCATTTTTATACATTATTCATATAATGACCTATCATTACCTATTTATTGAAAATTGCTATGATGGTTTAAATATTAAACACAAGGTCATTCAATTTGAGTTGCAGTTCAATGTCCTACTTTTCTGTTCCAATTGGGACAATGATGTGTCAGTTTTCAATGAAGTAAATTTTTCAGGCCAATTTTGCTATTTTTCTCTCACATTGTAGAAAATAACTATTTATGTTATGATGGATGTTCCCATATGTGTTACTTTGACCTATGCACAAAATATATATATTAAATATAGCACAATATTCTGTTATTACCTAATTAGATCTAATAAGGCAACAAAATGCTCAACAATTGATTCGTTATTTTCATACCAAGAAACTACACAGTACTAATTAGCAACACTGAAGATAATAAAACCACACCTTTGTAGGGGAGATAAAATAACAGTAGGCTAGGAGACTTCTCCTGAACTTGTTGACAGACAAATAATTATCATATCAATTCATTTTGACATCAAAGTAAAGCATTGCTGTATAAATTTGTCTGAAAGATATGTAGGACCTCTTTTACTCAGAATCAATTTTTTGTATGTTTGAATTCATGCACTTTAAAAGTAATATCAAATAAAAGCAGCCCTAAATTTTTATTAAAAAATTTCAGAATACTTGCAAAAAGTTAAAATTGATATTGTTAGCTTTTGGATTATATTAGGCCAAATCAACACCACATATCAGCCTACATATTTGTACCTACACAAAATCAGCCAGGAAAAGAAAGATTGTGTTATACAAGACTCCATTTGAAATGTTAATAAATATAGGTGATAAGGAGGTGGTAATGGAAACCTGACAATAAACTCGGAAATTGTTTTCTATAACGACCCAGCCTTTTATTGATCATTCCATGGTATTCTGACCTCATTTTTGGACATGAAGAAATTTTATCCTGCATTCCAAAGTCCTGAATCAGATTATGCAAAAAATTGAAAAAATTCTGTTATAATTTCTTTTTAAAGAGGGACATTGCCTTCAGTTGAGCTTTTACTAAATTTATCTCGAGGAGGATGAAGACAGGCCATGGAATACCTTATTTAAAGCCTAAGGATATTCTTTGATGGCTTTATAATAAACTTGTACCTTGCCATAATTCTAGGATCAATTTAATTCCTTACTGATAGTTAGTCATTGAGATTGACCCACTTCAATCCAATGTATTGATTCATCTGTAATAGTTTTTACAGAGAGGGCAACTCTTTATAAACCAGGTGGTATGTGTAGTTTATATGCATATTCAGTTTAAAAAAACGCATTATTAAATGATATATCTATCTTTAACTTGTCTCTGTTTCAAACCTAAACCACAAATTTCATTACAAATTCAGGTATAACTTGTCAATACTGGTGCGATTCTGTATTCCGAGGTTTGGTGATTAATTTACTGTTCAGAGACAAGTTAAAGATAGATATATCATATAATCAATGTCTTCAGATCTCAGTCTAAAACAAAATACATATTGTAGCGGAAATGGATGACATGAGAAAGTGACATCTATCAGTCGAGTTGAATTACAGGAATATTACTGTCAGGTTTCTATAGAATATACTCCCAATATTGAACTTCTAGTTTCCTGCTTAAGGAAAGAAGGTAGCCTATTTAAGATGAGTGGAGACTGGGAAAATCAATATAAAAATCTAACCAATTTGTTGACATTTTATCAATGTTTTGGTGATATTATATGGACCTCATACTGAATGTAGACTCAAGTTTGGTTATTATAATACCTTTGGCAAGCCGACATTAAGAATTGCAAGATTATCAAGGATCCATGGCTCAATTTTGCACTCTACCACTTATCTATAGCTATGTAATTTCAAAATGAATCTGACTGTCCTTTGAATTGTACATACAACTACTTGATAGTCAAGGATTAAGGTCAATGAGCTCATGGCAATGTGTGAACTAAGAAAGTTTCAAGTTAGATAGTCTTCTGCTACGATTTTTAAGATTTTGGAACAACACAGAAAGAAAAAATCTGGAGCCATAGGTCAGCCTAATGTCAACTGTCTCAGTTAAATATTCCAGTTCAAATTTTGTTTAATAAAATGGTTGAATGTAGAACAACTATATGTTCATGAATGATCAAGTTTGCCTCTCTATATTATATTACAGAAAAGATGAAAACTGGTTGAAAAAAGCTGTGAAGAATTAAATACAGAGCATAGTGTCAAACTCACCGAGCTGACCTGGCACTTTTCTTAGACTAAAGATGCAGAACATAATATTATGAAATTTCAAATGAAAACATTTCCAGCATTCTCAAATTACTACTGAAGACTATTGAAGAAAAAATCCAAATCCAATGCCAGAATGGAAACCAGAAGATAAAATCAATTTTTACAGCTAGATATTTCCTTGAGTAGCTATAAAAATTAGCTTCTAAACATTCTCCACTTCATATTACCACACTAATTAGAAACAGAAAACTTTCTCCACTAAATGAAATCAATGCATTGATATTGAGATCGAAGACAAACAATGAAATGTAAGAAATAGAAATAGTCGGTACTGATCTTCAATATAGACTCTATTTCCTTCGTCTTCATTACATGGGAGAGAATTCACTTAAGTTTGTTTGAAGAGTGGACATGAATGTCAATTCCATTTAAACTAACATTATTTATTATCAGGATTCCATCTCTATGGTAATGTGATTAGGTGGAAATATATTCTTTACATTGAAGAAAAAAAAGAAGTTTAATGATGCTCAAAAGAAAATCAATGAGTCACCTCTTTAAAGTCAAGGACATTTTTTTCATTAAGTTTGAATTTAAGGTTCCAGATTTGAGTTTTGACATCAAAATAATTAAAGAAAACAGAACCGTCTTGAAATATGTTTCCAGAAATATTATTTACTAGTAACATGTAAAAAAAGTCCAATAGATTTTTTGCAGGGATTTCTAATTTTCAAGTTATACTTCACATAATAATGATGTTAATTATTGTAGAAATATTAAACTGATGAGATCATAATTTCAAAGAAAAGAAACATTCAATTGATATAAATGTATGTGTACAAAACCAAATTGATATTTTAAAAGAGGTAAAAAAGTTCATCAACTGACCTTTTGTCTATTGCCGTGTCTTAAAGAAAGGCTTTTAGTTATACTGCCAGCTCCTGGTACTCTTAATATCTTACTACCACCACTATATACACTGCCTTTATCTACAATTACAATATTATACTAATTAATGATGATTATTATCTTATATTTGCCAACAAAGTTTGACAAGAGCTGAAAGCTATATGTCAATGAAAGAATCATATCAATTACATGTATAAAACTGCACTATGAATACGAGATTTTTCAGGCAGTTCATATTTAACGTCATACAAGTCCAATCATTAAATTCATGATAGGAAAGAAAGTAAATAAAATTATAATTGTATACAAAATTAAACTTGTACTTTTGATCTGTAGTTCAAAATCAAATCTCATCTACACTTTACAAGACTA